AAACATTAATATAGGCCAGGCACAGTGCCTCAGGCCTATAATCCCAGCACTTGTGAGGCCAAGGGTCGGGTATATCAGTGAGCCTCAGGAGCTTCAAGGACCAGCCTGCCACCACAGCAAAACCCACGCCCGTCTACTAAAAATTACAAAAAAAGTTAGCCAGGCATGTGATGCACGCCTCTTCCAAGCCTACTCTCGGGACGGCTGAGGCAGGACAAATGCTGAACCGGAGGCAGAGGTTGGTTTGGCATGTGAGCCAAAGATCACACCATTAACTCCATGCTTGGGCAAACAGAGGGAGACTCTGTCTTCAAAAAAAACTTGGGCCGGCGACCGGTGGCTCACGCTGTTAATTCCCAGCACTTTGGGAGGCCAAGGCAGTCCGGTGGGAATCACGAGTCAGAAGTTGGAGACCCCATGCCTGTGAGACATGGTGAAACTTCATGTATCGTACTAAAAAATAACAAAATTAGACGGGCGTGGTGGCACACGCTGTTAATCCCATGCTACTCGTGAGGCTGAGGCAGGGAATTCACTTGAACCAGGGAGTTAGGAGGTGCAGTAGCCAAAATGGTATTAAAACATTTTTCTTTTGTTTTCTTTGAGAACAGGGACATGCAGCAGACGGTGCGATCACAGCTCACGCAGCCTCAACCGCCCCAGCTCCAATGTGATCCTCCCACTCTAGCTTCCGAGTAGCTGGAAACACAGGTATGCGCCACCCATGCCTGGCTAATTTTTTAATTTTAATAGAGACAAGGTTGTCCTATTTTGTCAGGCTGGTCTCGAACTTCTGAGCTCAGTCAAATCCTCCTGTCTCCCCTCCCAAAAGGCGATTGCCTACTCTTTCTTTCCTAGAGATTGGGACAATACATTTACTTTCTTTTTCTTCTTCTTTTTTTTTTTTTTTTTGAGATGGAATCTGGCTCGTTTGCCCAGGCTAAGTGGCAGGTGGCATAGATCTGGGCTCACTGCAAGCTCCGCCTCCTGGGTTCACACCATTCTCCTGCCTCAGCCTCCTGAGTAGCTGGGACTACAGGCACCTGCCACCACGCCCAGCTAATTTTTTGTATTTTTAGTAGAAACGGGGTTTCACCGTGTTAGCCAAAATGGTCTCAATCTCCTGACCTTGTGATCCGCCCACCTTGGCCTCCCAAAGTGCTAGGATTGATTACAGGCAGGCTTGAGCCACCGCGCCTGGTGATACATTTACTTTCTAATTTGTTACCTTATTACCAAGCCTGCAGCTCTCTCTCTTCTGGTAGAGCACCTTTTTGTTTGTTTGTTTGAGACCAGTTTTGCTCTTGTTGCCCAGGCTGGAGTGGAATAGTGTGATCTCAGCTCACTGCAACCTCCACCTTCTGGGGTCAAGTGATTCTCCTGCCTCAGCCTCCCGAATAGCTGATACTACAGGCATGCGCCACCATGCCAACTAATTTTGTATTTTTAGTAGAGATGGCATTTTGCCACGTTGGCCAGGCTGGTTTCGAACTCCTGACCTCAGGTGATCCACCCACCTCGGCCTCCCAGTGTTGGGATTATAGGCATGAGCCACCATACCTGGCCACCTGTAGATACTTTAAAAAACAAGTAGGCTGGCCATGGTGGCTCATGCTTATAATCTCAGCACTTTGGGAGGCCAAAGTGGGAGGATTGCTTAAGCCCAGGAGTTTGAGACCACCCTGGGCAATGTAGTGAAACCCTGTCTCTACAAAAAATGTAAAAATGAACAGGCGTGGTGGCCTGCACCTGTAGTCCCAGCTACTTGGGAGGATCACTTGAGCCCAGGAAGTTAACCTGCATTCTAGCCTGGGGCTGCACTCTAGCCTAGGCAACAGAGCAGAGCAAGGCCCTGTCTCAAAAACAAACAAACAAAAAACGTAAAAAACCCCAAAACCCCCAAACTGAAAATATAACCTAAGGCTCTTGTCTTCTAGTCAAGACTTCTTTCTCTCCTCTACCACCTTGGCAGCTAGTGATTTCCTTTAATCCCATTACTGATGGAGAAACTGAGGTCAGAATTCCAGGCTAGAGGCTCTTGGGTCCAGGCATTCGCCAGGATATGGAGCAAACCCGGGTGTCTGCTACAATGTGAGCTCCCCAAAGGCAGAGGCACTGTGTCCCAGCTCCTAGAACAGAGGCCAGCAAATTGTAGGTACTTAGGAAGTATATGCTGAGTGAATAAGTGAATGAAGGCTCACCATTCCTAGAACAAGACAGAGCGCTGCTGGAGGGAAGGGGAAAGAAGCTGTAAGTTTCAAACAGGGAAATGGGTCTCATTTCCAGCCTTTGGCAGGGAGTGGTACAGCTGGGTGCTGTGAGAACCACATCACTTTTAATCCACATGGGGCTCAGGCAGGAAAGGATCAAAACCCAATATGAGAACTTGAGAGTTGCCCTGAGGCTCTGTGGTTTGGGAACAGTAGGGTCAATCTGAAGGCTGCAATGTGTCACTATTTCCATTACACACTTTCCAGGGTCCCCACTTGGCTGGTAAACTCAGAGCAGATTCTTCTGTCTTGGAAGATGGAAACAGGCCCAGAGAGGTAAAAAAAAAATTTTTTTGAGATGGAGTCTTGCTCTGTCACCCAGTCTGGAGTGCAATGGCGGATCTCGGCTCACTGCAACCTCCGCCTCCTGGGTTCAAGCGATTCTCCTGCCTCAGACTCCTGAGTAGCTGGGATTACAGGCGCATGCTGCCATATTTGGCTAATTTTTTTGTATTTTTAGTAGAGATGGGGTTTCACCGTGTTCCCCAGGCTGGTCTTGAACTCCTGAGCTCAGGCAATCCACCCACCTCAGCCTCCCAAAGTGCTAGGATAACAGGCATGAGCCACTGAGCCCGGCCCAGAAAAAGTTTTGAGAATGCTGCTTGTTGGGAACAGGGAGTTCTGCCTGCCCCAGACTGGCTGGATAATAAGAATTGCTAAAGAAGTTATTGATTACTCTTGCCGGGTGCGGTGCCTCACGCCTGTAATCCCAGCACTCTGGGAGGCCGAGGTGGGCGGATAATGAGGTCAGGAGTTCAAGACCAGTCTGTCCAATATAGTGAAACCCCTTCTCTACTAAAAATAGAAAAAAATTAGCCAGGTGTGGTGGTACGCACCTGTAATCCCAGCACTTTGTGAGGCCAAGCCGGGTGGATCACCTGAGATCAGGAGTTCAAGACCACCCTGGCCAACATGGTGACCATCTCTATGCAAAAAGACAAAAATTGGCTAGGTAGTCCCAGCTACTTGGGAGGTTGAGGCAGGAGAATTGCTTGAAGCCGAGAGGCGGAGGTTGCAATGAGCACCACTGCACTCCAGCCTGGGTGACAGAGTGAGACTCTGTCTCGGAAAAAAAAAAAAAATTAAATTAAAAAATATGTGAAGTCTTCTCAGAAAGATTAGTGGATACCAAAGGTACTTTCTGGCTTCAGGCCTGTGGCCCTTGGAGCTGTCCTTGGACAAATGCTAAGTGGTCCTTGGAACTCAATGCCTGTATAAAAGGGTGGGGGGTGGGGGTGGGGGTGTTACAGACTGCCTCCACCAGAAAGTGGCCTCAGCCTAGCCATATTATCTGGAAACTTTCACTGCCTGTTCCTGTTACTCCACTCCTTACCCTTTCAGTGCCCCAGACACAACTCTATCCCCTAATGTTTTCTCCCCTCTGATTCTCCCAGCCTTTCAACCCCATGTCTTCCCATTCCAACTCCAACTGGGAGCATCCTTTGTCCCTAGTCTAGTTCATTCTCCATCATGCCCTCACTCACAGCTCCCATTAGCTCAAGGCAAAAGCTGCATGTCCCTCCCCTCCCTGTCACTCGCTCCCTTGGGCTATAAATAGCATAGCTGTGCCTTAGATCGTGTTGAGAGCTTCAAGACTTAGTCCCCCTTCCCCCCATCCTTTCCTCTTTAACACAACAGGGAGAACAAGCCTGAAGCTTCCAGTTAGGGTGGGCAAGCCCAAGAAGGAGGGGGTCTGGGGGAAGGGAATGAGAAAGGCTGTGCTGAATTCGGAACCACACAGAATATGGTAACTTTGCCATCTGTTGTCAGGGACTCTCCGCTTTTCCCCCAGTCTGCTACCCATTCCCTGACACTTGCTCCTGGAGGAAGAGGAGCAGCAGGAGTTAGCAGAATTCTAACAATTCTCTTTTAACCCTTGCGATCATCCTATGGGCAGGTGCTACCTTGATTTTACCAACGAAGCCATAGACTCTAACAGATTAAATGGCATAACCCAATATTTAGAGTGGTTGGTCTGTGGGCTAATTGATCCCATGTCTGACTTTGGCCTACACTAAGTCTGTCTGCATCATTGATTTAGGCCCCTCTAAATCAGAATTTCTATCGATGTGACCTGATTTGGAAGAAAAAGAGGTCTACTAAACAAATTACTAATGTAGCAATGCATAAATGGAAAACATTAAAGTCTCGGCATGTTCACAAAAATGATGCTATCATAATTTTATCTTATCTGTTTACTAAAGCAGGACTCTACAAAAATCTGTTCCTTGAAGTTTTTTTTAGTTACTGTATGTTCTCAGAAGTTTTTGAAATACAAAGCAATTTTACTTCTTCTATTTCAAGACTTCCCCTCCACTTTACATTCTCTCAAGTTAGTCCTGAGTAGTGAGTTAGAAATCTGGCCTTTTTTCTATCACTTACTGTTGGGCAAAACGCTTAATGGAGCCCCAGTTTTTTGTATGTGAAGTGGGGATAATAATAGTACCTACCTCATTCCTATTGTGAGGATTAATCTACACAAAGGAGGCCAGGCATGGTGGCTCACGCCTATAATCCCAGCACTTTGGGAGGCCGAAGTGGGTGGATCACTTTGAGGCCAGGAGTTCGACACCAGCCTAGCCAACAGGGTGAAACCCCATCTTTACTAAAAATACAAAAATTAGCCAGGCATGGTGGCATGCACCTGTAATCCCAGCTACTCAGGAAGCTGAGGCTGGAGGATCCCTTGAGCCCAGGAGTTTGAGGCTGCAGTGTGCTATGATTACCACCGCACTCCAGCCTGGGTGACAGAGTGAGACTGTCTCAAAACAAAACAAAACAAAAACAAAGCAATTAGCACACTGCTTGGCCCAGAGAAGGTGCTCACTAAATCATAGCAATTATTATTATTTCTCAGCTCTGGGCTGAGATGCTGTAGGAACATCACCATCATTTCAGTAGGGAGAAGCTGAACTTCACTATCCATGGTTTGGTTCCTGTTCTTCAAAGGACTTGGAGTTGATCCTGTTTCCTGCCCTGTCTTATCCGGACATTTTCATCCCCCTTCTTCTGACCTAGACCAGTAAGGGAATATACCGTCCATCTCCTGAGAATTCAAGCCACTTCTGGAACCTGGAGAGGCAGCACAGGAGGGTGTGTGTGAAAGGCTGGGAGGAGAGTTCCCATGGACACTGGGGACATGTGAAGGCCCTGGGGAGTTGCTGTGACCCTGGGTCTCTGCCTAGAGCAGTGAATGCTGGGGAGAAAAAAGGACATCAGCTGCCGAACAAATTTCCAGTGCTGCAAAGCCCCTTTAGGATAAACACACAGGGCTGAGTAATCTAGGGAAGGAACAAAGGCCTGGGATGGAGTGGGATCTCCCTAGCACACCCTATCTTCTTCCATTTGCTTAGCACGTACTTTTTCTTTTCCTAAACAAGGGTGCCAGGATATACTAGCATTCCTAAGCTTCAGTATTTATCTGGAAAGGGTTTCCGCTTAACCAGCCCCCTGGAGGTTAGCATTGCAGTCAGGAGTGTAAACACTGGAGCCAGCCTGACCTGGGTTCAGATGACAAAACTGCCATGTACTAGCTGTGTATCTTCAGGTAAGTTATTAAGCCTCTCTGAAGCTCCATTCCCTTGTGAACAAACTGCTATTTACCATATAGAATAGCTGAGAGTTTTGAAATATGCTGAGTACAGGGCTAGGCACGGTGGGGGTCATGCCTGTAATCCCAGCACTTTGGGAGGCCGAGGTGGGTGGATCAGCTGAGGTCAGGAGTTCGAGACCAGCCTGGCCAAACCCCATCTCTATTAAAAACACAAAAATTAGCCGGGCATGGTGGCAGGCACCTGTAATCCCAGCTACTTGGGAGGCTGAAGCAGGAGAATCACTTGAACCCGGGAGGTGGAGATTGCAGTAAGCTGAGATCGTGCTATTTGCACTCAAGCCTAGACAACAAGAGTGAAACTCTGTCTCAAAAAAAAAAAAAAGAAAAGAAATATACTGAGTACAGAAGAGCCCCAATCCTGGTCACTGTTATCCCTGCAACCTGAGCGAGCATCACCTCATAGGTAGTATAAAGAGTTCTGGAAGCTGGGCCCCGTAGCTTCCATCTGTAATCCCAGCACTTTGGGAGGTCAGTTCTGAGACCAGCCAGGGTAACATGGTGAAACTCTGTCTCTACCAAAAATATAAAAATGAGCCAAGTGCGGTGGTATGTGCCTGTGGTCCCAGCTAATTAGGAGGCTGAGTTGGGAGGGTTGCTTGAGCCTAGGAGTTTGAGGCTGCAGTGAGCCAAGATCACACAGCCTAGGTGACAGAGGGAGACCCCATCTCAAAAACAAAACAAAATAAAAAACACCAAAAACTGGCTGGGTGTGGTGGCTCATGCTTGTAATCCCAGCACTTTGGGAGGTGAGGCGGGTGGATCATGAGGTCAGGATTTCGAGACCAGCCCGGCCAACATGGTGAAACGCCACCTCTACTAAAAATAAAAAAATTAGCTGGGTATGGTGGTGTGCACCTGTAATCCCAGCTACTCAGGAGGCTGAGGCAGGAGAATCGCTTGAACCCAGGAGGTGGAGGTTGCAGTGAGCTGAGATTGTGCCACTGCACTCCAGCCTGGGTGACAGAGCAAGACTCCATCTTGGAAAAAAAAAAAAAAAATTCCCAAACTAAAAGACAGCCCAGAGAGCCTGTCTCTCACAACTAGGGTATTTTATTCACATCCCACATTGTTCATAAGAGTATCCGAAGGAGTGTAACTTGGGGGACCCAGGCTTTCTGCTCATCCTTGTTCCTGTATCTCCATCTCCATTCTCCACATCAAGCCTCTCTCTGATCCAGACACTTAATTCCATGGAATTAGAAGACTGAATCCAGTTAGGGGCCCCCCTCCATTTGGTCTTTCCTTACTTTGCAGCGCCTGGAGTTCTGACTTGGGACTCAGCGAACTGGGGGTTAAGACCGATCCCCTGTCCTTTCCCCTCCCCTCTCCATCCCTGACTTCAAAGTCTTCATAAAGCCCAAGTCACTGCTTCCCTGACCCCATAGTGGCAGCTCCATGTCAGCTTTTGGCCGGTTCAAAACAGCAGATGCTGAGCCGTGGCCTGGTCGCTCGCGCTCCTCGTTCTAGCCATCTCCTAGGGTAAGCACCAGCATGCCAATGACCTGGGGGGCCACCAGTCCTTGCTCCTCCAGGAAAGGAGGGATAACTAGGATAGAAGCTGACTCAAGGGCAGGTACAGTGGTTCATGCCTGTAATCCCAGCACTTTGGGAGGCCATGGTGGGCAGATCATCTGAGCTCAGGAGTTCAAGACTGGCTGGGCGACATGGCAAAACTGTCTCTATAAAAAATACAAAAATTAGTTGGGCATGGTAGCACGCACCTGTAGTTCCAGCTACTTGAGACACTGAGGTGGAAGCACTGCTTGAGTCTGGAGGGTCAAGTTTGCAGTGATTGCCACTGCACACCAGCCTGAGTGACAAAGTGAGACCCTGCCTCAAAAAAAAGAAAAAAAAGAAAAAAAGAAAAAAGAAAAGAAAGTTTGTCCTATGGTTAGGCTTAGAAGGCATCCCATTGGACAGGGCATGGTGGCTCATACCTGTAATCCCAGCACTTTGGGTGGCCAAGGTGGGCGGATCAAGAGGTCTGGAGTTCAAGACCAGCCTGGCTAACAGCGTGAGACCCCGTCTCTACTAAAAAAATACACAAAATTACCTGGGCATGGTGCACACCTGTAATCCCAGCTACTTAGGAGGCTGAGGTGGAATTGCTTGAACAGGGAGGTAAAGGTTGCAGTAAGCCGAGATGGCTACTCCAGCTGGGGCTACAGAGCGAGACTCTGTCTCAAAAAAAAAAAAAAACCCAAAAAAACAGAAGGCATCCCATTGGCAGAACCCCTGTTTCCAGCCCAGGGATGAAGGTAGCCAGTTGGTAATTGTGAAGAACCTGTTTGGAAAGAGATGGACCTGGAAAAACGGGAGGAGCTCAGGAACCAGAATGTGTTCCTTTAGTACCACGTGCAAAATATATTCTAAATTACATGCAAATCAATGTCCGATCATTATAATCTCTGGCAATTTGGTAACCAATGCTGTGATACTATCTGGTCTAGGATGGTTCTGGCTCCCTGGGGCCAGATCCTGCTCTGTAGCTCCCACAGGAGCAACCATCACAGACCAAAGGCCAGCGGGGGCCGCAACACTCAAGGACTGTTTCTCCCACCGCCATCTGTGGATTTTTCCAGCTGTTTTCCTTGGCCCAAGGATCACACCCATAGGGATGCAGATGGGGGAAGGGGAAGCTGAGAAAACAGTGAAGTCAGAACGAGCTGGGGAAGAGGCAGATGGTAGGAAATGGAGATGGAGAAATGGCACTAGTGGCCTGACCATCTGAGATGGGATACCTGGGAGGGACATCTTTTCAAGCAGAGGCTGTGTTAGGGCATGGTGAGAGAGGGTCTTAGCAGGTAACCTTCCTTTCCTCTCCAGACTGAGGAATCAGAGTTCTGATTGTGGAGTGCCTCTCTCTAGGACTGGGCTGCAGCCTAGGAGTCCCAGCTGCTTACATCCAGGTCCAGGATTATGTCTGCTAACAGACGCTGGTGGGTACCACCTGACGACAAAGACAGTGTGTCTGAGAAGCTCCTGAGGAAGACTCGGGAATCTCCCCTGGTGCCTATAGGTAAGTGAAGAAAGGAATGGGGTGCAAGTAGGAGGCCTTCTCTGAGCAGTCATGTCTCCTGGTACCCTCCAAAGAGAATGAAGCAGAGGTCAGAAAACTCAAATGGTCCTACTCACGGAACAAGGGAACCAACAGCAAAGGTGCCAAGGGGCAAACCCTTACAATGAAATGAGGACGTCTGGACGGGTGGAGGTGGCGGCCAACCGAGCACATGGGATACAAGGAACCTGGAGCACCAACAACAAAGTGGGAAGGGTCAGAGAAACACCTTGGGGTCCCCCAGGGCTTCCTTCCTGACGGACCTGGTAGAGTAGGAAAACAGCTGTACCAGGAGGTGGGAGCCAGCAGTGTGGCTGGAGAAGGGCCCAGGGCGGAGCAAATTGGTGGGCAGGGGCTGTGTCGTGGTGATCAGCTATTTGTATTTGGGGGAGGGGCGTCACTGGTGGTGATCAGCTATTTGTATTTGGGGGAGGGGCGTCACTGGAGGGAGGCAGCCACTTTGAGAACGCCATTGAAGGGCAACAACTCAATATTATTATTTTTTTTGAGACGGAGTTTCACTCTTGTTGCCCCAGCTGGAGTGCAATGGCACAATCTCAGCTCGCCACAACCTCCGCCTCCTAGGTTCAAGTGATTCTCCTGCATCAGCCTCCTGAGTAGCTGGGATTTACAGGCATGCACCACTACACCCGGCTAATTTTGTATTTTTGGTACAGACCGGGTTTCTTCATGTTGGTCAGGTTGGTCTCTAACTCCCAACCTCAGGTGATCTGTCTGCCTTGGTCTCAAAAAAGTGCTGGGATTATAGGCATGAGCCACCACACCCTGGCAATGACTCAATATTCTAATGATCCCCCTAGGTCCCCCGCAACCCCAATCACCAGATGCTGCATAAAAGCAGCTGTTTATCCAGGTGCCCAGCCTGCCTGGTATGTCTCATCAGGGGAGTGCTGTGCATTGTGGCCATGGCCCAGGGGCTGTGTTCTCTGCCCACAGGCTTAGGAGGCTGCTTGGTGGTAGCAGCATACAGGATTTACCGGCTGAGGTCTCGTGGTTCCACCAAGATGTCCATACACCTGATTCACACCCGAGTGGCAGCGCAGGCCTGTGCAGTGGGTGCAATCATGCTAGGTGAGTGGCTTTGTGGGGTCGCAGGAGAATGAGGGCAAAACCAATTACACAGAGTCTGTAGGTCTTTAAGTCCCAACAGTTAAAGGGACTGTGACTTGGCTGCGTGTGGAGGTTCATGCCTGTAATCCCAACACTTTGGGAGGCTGAGGCGGGCAGATCATGAGGTCTGGAGATCGAGACCATCCTGGCCAACATGGTGAAACCTGGTCTCTACTAAAAATACAATTAGCTGGGCGTGTTAGTGGCAGATGCCTGTAGTCCCAGCTACTCGGGAGGCTGAGACAGGAGAATTGCTTGAACCTGGGAGGTGGAGGCTGCAGTGGGCAGAGATCCACCACTGCACTCCAGCCTGGGTGACAGAGTGAGAGTCTGTCTCAAAAATTAAAAAAATAAATTAAAAAAAAGGACTGTGACTTAGGTTCCTGTTCTGGGATCCACATCACGTCCTTGGTGAAGCCCCTATACTGAGCCATTTTCCCTGTTTAGGCTCCTGTCCCAGGCCTGTGAGGACAGTGCACAGTGTCTCATGACAGTTTGCCCTAGGGGTGAGAAAAATCATGCAACAGAACATATGTTGAATTTCTCTTCCTCTTGACATTAAAAAGCAGCCAGCTACTTGCTACCTGTGTGACAGTGGACAAATCTTTCCCACTGAGCCTCAGTTTCCTGATGTGTAATATGACAATAACCACTCCTGGCTTGCCTACCTCGCAGACTGCTGTAAGGTTTCTCAGATACACAATACATGTGAAAGTGTTTTGTGAACTGTCAGATGGGTGGTTTCCCCAGGCTGTGTGGTCAGATGCTTGGAGCAGCTGTTGGGACCTGGGGCAGAAAGATGAGCAGGAAGCTGGACTCTCAAGGGAGTAGCTAGAGGTGAACCCCTGGGACACCTGAGAGAGCCAGAGGACGGGTAAAGGGTTTGATGCCAAGGGGCACTATTTCTTTTCCCTCACACAGGTGCTGTGTACACAATGTACAGTGATTACATCAAGAGGATGGCACAGGATACTGGAGAGAAGTAGGACTCCTATAGGAGCCGGGGCCGTCCGACTCCCCTAAATCAATCCCTAGTACATTCCTAATAAAGTAGCTTTGAGGAAAATCAACTGACTCTTTTTCACTGGGGGAGAATAGAGTAAAGGATTGGCAGTGGCTGGGGAGAGGACCTGGAGTGTCTGGAAATCAAAGGGCTCTGGCCCCCTACTCCCTACAGGGCAAGGGAGATTCTTAGGGGAGGCAGTAGTTTCCTGAGGAGGTGGTGGGGTAGACCTCTGACCCCACGAACCCAACAACTCCCAAGCCATCTTAGGTCCCACCCAGAAGCAGCACGGAGTGGGAGCAAGGGGGGCAATAATGGGGCCTTGGTGCTCATGGGAACACTGAATTAAAAGGCAGGCAGCTTCCCTGGGGACCCAGGCAGGAAGGAGGATGCAGCTGGAAGCAGAGGCAGTGAAGCCTCTTGGGAGATGACATATATTCAGAATGTAAGCACCAGCACCAGAAGGGGCAGGGGAGACGGGGATGAAAGAAGCAGAGCAAGACAGAGGTCAGAATGTTCTGTTCACTTGCAAACCATGGCTAAGGTCAAACTTGTAGAAAATAAAATTCCATGTAAATCCCAAAGATAGGGCCCCTTGGGGTTTCATCCCTTTCTCTTTCTGTGAGCCCAAGCTCCTCTCTTTCCCTTGGGAAAGGAGCCTGGCAGAGGCCACAGAAGGAAGCAGGAGGCCAAATGCTCCTCTCTCACTGGGGCTCTGGGTTGGAGGTTGGTGAGTTGTTCAAGATGGCAGCAGCAGCTTCCAGACACTCTGACAACACCAAGGCCACGTCAACATCATACGAGGTCTCAGCTTCAAGTACAGGAGTTGCAGCCCACTGTAGGGAGCAGGACCTCCCAGGAGTCCGTGCACTCACATGGGGTAATTGAGCACAACATCCTGTTTGGCAAGCTCCAGCAACATAGGATCATCGAAGAATTTGCTGATGCTCACATCTTCACTGAGGCCCTGCAGGGAATGGGGCAAATACAAGAAAGCCTGAGGTGGTCGCAGACTGAGCGGGGAGACCAACCAAGACCTGTGCTCAGTGGGGAGGCTAGTGGTGGCTGGAATGTAGGTGGTGGTGTTTCAGGAGTCCTGCCTTTAGGGTACTATCACATGGGAGGATAAGGCTCTCCTTTCCCAATGAGACTGGGGTCCAGGTTTGGTTGTCTAAGGAGTATACAGATCATATCTCTACACTGGAAAAATGTCCCTTAGGAAAAGGGGCCAAAAGAAAGAGAGGGAGATCCTGCTTCTGAGAGTCCTAGGAGGTTAAGGGATGGCAACAGGCCCAAGGGAGACATACCTTCCTACGGCGGGTTTTGATCATGAATTCCCGGGCCAGATGAGGAGCCGGCTGTGGCTCCAAGGGGCGGATGACAATGCTCTTGTCCAGAGGATCACCAGGCACAATCTAAAAGGCAAAGGAATTTCAGATGGCCTAGGCAGAATTCCCAGAAGATTCAGGCCCAGAAGCAGGACTCTTCTTATTTATTTTAAAATTTATTACTTATTATTATTATTTTTTTGAGACAGAGTTTCGCTTGTCTCCCAGACTGGAGTACAATGGCATGATCTTGGCTCACTGCAACCTCCACCTCCCGGGTTCAAGTGATTCTCCTGCCTCAGCCTTCCAAGCAGCTGGGATTACAGGCATGCACCACCACGCCCGGCTAATTTTGTATTTTTAGTAGAGATAGGGTTTCTCCATGTTGGTCAAGCTGGTCTTGAACTCCTGACCTCAGGTGACCTGCCCGCCTCGGCTTCCCAAAGTGCTGGGATTATAGGTGTGAGCCACCACAGCCAGCCCTATTATTTCTATTCTTTTTTATTTTAAACTGAGAGACACAGATTCAAGTTGCCCTGAATACATGCAACCCAGAAGAGGACTCTTCTCTAGGATGCTGTACACCTCACTTAAGGCTTGGAGGGGGATCAGGACAGAGGGGATGAGGCTTGCAGAGGTGGGAAGCCAAATCCGCCAGCTTGCATTGTTTTCTCACCTGCCAATGGTGGAAGACAGACAGAGAAAAGGCTTGTCCCTGGGTGTGAGTCCGAAGATCAGTCTCAAAGCCAAAAGAGTCGATGGCTGGGATAAAAGCTTTGATGGTGTACAGAGGGGAGCCTGGGATGGGTGCATCCTGAGTCACGTGACCCCTGAGAGAGAAAAACAAAGGCTGAGTCTCTAGCCACACACAGGCCAAAAGCCAAGAAGCAATCCAGCATTTGCTGTTCCCAAATGCATTCCACCCCAGAGTTACCATCAAAAAAAGAGTAACCAAGAATGTTCTACAGAAAGCAGAAAAGGCTCAGGGCTCTCAGTATAATTCCCTGTGGAAGTCAAAGTGGCAGCAACCTCTGAGCAGAGGACAGGAGTGGGACGGCGATGGGACAAGAGCCCAAAGACATTTCCATCACTGACTTGCCTCAGCACTTCCTCCAACAGCTCTGTGAGGAGGGGATCCCAAAGAAATGTCTATTTTTTTTTTTTTTGATATGGAGCCTCATACTGTCACCCAGGCTAGAGTGCAGTGGTGCCATCTTGGCTCACTGCAAGCTCCGCCTCCCGGGTTCACGCCATTCTCCTGCCTCAGCCTCCTGAGTAGCTGGGACTACAGGTGCCTGCTACCACGCCCGGCTAAATTTTTGTATTTTTAGTAGAGACGGGGTTTCACCTTGTTAGCCAGGATGGAGAAATGTCAAATTTTAATCTGCAGAAAAGCTGGGGCTTGCCTCCCTCTGTTCCTACTTCTTTCTGGAAAATCAGCTCACAGGGTTTCCAGAGTGAGGAGGGTAGGGGAGGCCAACCTCTCCTCCCTGCAGGAGCCGAGGTGACTCTTGTTCTGCTCTTGCTCTCAGCACTCTTCCTAATATGCCTGGGGCTGGAGCTGCTCACCTGCGCCTGGCCAGGACAGTATAAACTGCAGAGACGCAATCTGCAGGGGCCTGGACCTCTACAAAGTAGTAAGGCTCCATCAGACGAGGAGTAGCCTGCAGCAGAGCAAGAAGAAAGGTCCCTCAGCTTAGGGAAGGCTGAGGGCCTATAGTCCCACTTGCTCCTTCACTTAGTCCACAGTCCAGCGAAGCAGATGGTCTCCTACAGCCCCATTCTCTTACCATGAGGAAGGCAGAGTAGACGACTCGCCTGGCTGTGGGGATGATCTGGCCCCCGCCCCGGTGTAGGGGCTCCTGGGCAACCACTGCATCCAGGATCTTAAACTTGACGTTCCGAATCACTGTAAAGGAGGTGGAGGCAGTGACTGGGGAGAGGTTCTGGGCCTGTCATGGGGCCATGGTGGAATAGCAGTCTCCTGCAACACTGCAGCTGTCTTGCAGTCATGAAAGACATGATACAAAAATCACATGGGAGGTGGGCGTTCTAACTGAATAAGCAAGGCCCATGGCAGAGGTCAGAAGTTAAGCATAGGTTCTTAGTGTTTGCTTCAGGCCATGCTCAGACATAGAGCTTTCCTAGAAGTTTATTTCTTTCTTCTGCACATATTTACATTTTTGTGGATGTAGAATTTCAGAATTGTACATTTGGTGCACAAAGCCCAATCAAGGTCTATTAACCACTCCAATCTCATCATCCTCTTGGTATCTCTTCTCAAATATGTCCAAGGCCAAACCCTTCTCAGAAATGAGGAGCAAATGACAGTTTAGAAATGACTTAAATTTCCAGGCTACACCACCAGGATAAGGAAGAAGGGAAGAAGCTGGCCCAGGACACGGGATGGTCCTGTGTACCCCAAGCTGCTTCTCCTGCCGGGTCCTAAAGATGGTGAGCCCATCCCACTCATATGCCTGGCTGCAAGGACCCTCGAGGACTGGGGTGGGGGAGTGCTGGTGGACTCACATTCATCACAGAGGGGGCCCTCCCTTGTTCCCCACTGGAAACCTTGAACGATGCTGTCCTTCACTGAGCCAAGAAGAGCCTTGTCCACCTACAGAGAAACATGAGGCCTCCTTAGCAGTCACCCTGGCAACAGCTGAAGCGTTTAGAGGGAGAAGATAGATGTGCCTGTAAGGGGATACTGTCCTTCATCAGAGGACACAAGATACTTTTGGGAAAAGAACACTTTGTAGTTTCTTCCACTCCAGAGGTAAGAGATTGCCACCCGGTTCCCATCAGTTCTGCTGTACCTCAGAGGGCAGAGTATCATCCACCAGAATGTTGGGGCCAGTCGCATCAGGGCCAAAAGCCCAGATGGAACGGGCAGCTAGTAGATCCCAATCGTACTTGGTCTGGAAGAACTCTCCCAGCTTCTTCCTGGGGAAAGGAGGGGGACAATGGAGCTGTCGGCCAGCTCTGTGATTGCTGGTCCTGGAGCCATAGACCCTCCCTTCCTGGAAGACAGTCACCTCATCCTACCCACTGTGCCCAGAACAAGAGCAACGGCAAAGACATAAATGCTTCCCAGAAAGATGTGTGCTCTTAGAGACCCGGCAGGTAAGCTGCGGCATCCCCGCCTCCTTTCGATCCTGGTGTCAGAGCCCTCTTCTCACCTGTTCCATGTAATCTGGACCACCTCATTCTCTATGTCCTCTGCCAGGCCCTTCTCAAGAGGCTCAGCAATCATGGTGATCTTGTTCCTGGTCAGAATGGAAATGGGTGGTAAGGACGGCTAACAGAACAGCAGAAGAGGCATTCCTAAGAAAAGGGTAACAAGATGGACAGTTGAGGAAGTGGTATCAGTGAAAGCCACGGGGGCCAAGTGTGGTGGCTCAGACCTATAATCCCAGCACTTTGGGAGGCCAAGGCAGGAGGATCACTTAAACCCAGGAATTTGAGGCTGCAGTGAGCTATGGCTCACACCACAGCACTCCAATCTGGGTGATACAGCAACACACTGCCTCTTAAAAACAAACAGCTGGGCGTAGTGGCTCACGCCTATAATCCCGGCATTTTGGGAGGCCAAGGTGGGGGGAACACTTGGGTCCAAGAGTCCAAGACCAGACTGGACAACAAAAAATAAAAAAATTAACAGATGGCATGGTGTGTACCCACAGTCCTAGCTGCTTGGGAGGACTGTTTCAGCCCAGCAAGTCGAGGCTGCACTCC